GAGGCGGAAAGTGTCACCCGCGCTGCTCTTCCATCTTCTGACCCATGCTGCGATTGGCTGCGACCCCCGAAGCCCAACCCCCCCCGCTGTCTGGTCACACTGCAGTTTCACATCAGCCGCGGCTTGCTGCGACCCTGGAGGACCATCATAGGAGACACCAACCATCAAATGGAGATCACAGCGGCGATTAGCTGCGACCCCCGAGGATTGGAGCACAAACGTCAGCGACGGTCTGCTGCGACCCCGGGAGACCACTAAGCGACCCTGGACGCTCGCGGGGGCCTGCCGGAACCACGGGCCCGGGGCCTCCCACGGGGGCTCTAGGCACTCTTGCATCCCAGTTCTGGCAGCCAAGGGCCGTCCTTCGCCACCCCCCCCTGCGCGCTTCGTCTTCACGGCGCCCACTGTCATCAGTTGCAGCGCTGGGAGCAGGTGCGTGAAGGGTGGGCACTGGCAGCAGCTCCTTCCCGCCCAGCAAGGCGGCAGGTGGCATTGGGGCCCAACGTGATCTGTGACTGCAGTGGGGTGAGTGTGTGTCCCGCGGGTGCTCCTGGGGCTCTTGCATCCCGGCGCTGTCCTCCCCGAGGTGTCTGCCGTTCGGGCTCGGGTCCGCCCTCTGGGGCCCAGGTTCTCATGCATCCCGGTGCTGTCGGTTCAGCGGAGGCGGAGGCGCCATCCAATCAATAGAGATCCACATGCTCCGGCGCATTGCCGGGATGTGGGAAGCTAAGTTGGAGCCCGCGTCGTAAGTTGCAGCGCTGGGATCAGGGGACACACCTACCATCAATTTGAGATGAGCGGCGATTAGCTGCGACCCCCGAGTCAATGAAAGGGGCCGCAACCGGACACAGCGACCCTGGACGCGCGCGGGGGCCTGCCTGAACCATGGGCCCGGGGCCTCCCACGGGGGCTCTAGGCACTCTTGCATCCCAGCTCTGGCAGCCAAGGGCCGTCCTTCGCAACCCCCCCGTGCACGCTTCGTCTTCGCGGCGCCCTGTCATCAGTTGCAACGCTGAGAGCACGTGCGTGACGGGTGGACACTGGCAGCAGCTCCTTCCCGCCCAGCAAGGCGGCAGGAGGCATTGGGGCCCAACGTGATCTGTGACTGCAGTGGGATCTGAGTGTGTGTCCCGCGGGTACTCCTGGGGCCCTTGCATCCCGGCGCTGTCCTCCCTGGGGTGTCTGCCGTTCGGGCTCGGGTCCGCCCTCTAGGGCTCAGGTGCTCTTGCATCCCGGTGCTGTCGGTTCAGCGGAGGCGGAGGCACCATCCAATCAATAGAGATCCACATGTTACGGCGCATTGCCGGGATGTGGGAAGCTAAGTTGGAGCCCGCGTCGTCTGTTGCAGCGCTGGGATCAGGGGACACACCTACCATCAAATAGGGTTGAGCGGCGATTAGCTGCGACCCCCGAGTCAATGAAAGGGACCGCAACCGGACACAGCAACCATCAAATAGAAATTATAGCGGCGATTAGCTGCGACCCCCGAGGTGATTAAAGAGAGATCTCAGCGGCGATTAGCTGCGACCCCCGAGGAGATTAAAGAGAGATCATAGCGGCGATGAGCTGCGACCCCCGAGGATGACCCAAGAGATGACCATGGCCCCTAGCCCTCGGATTCGGGGCCAGGCCGAGGGGTGAGGCGGTGCTTCCCCTCGCCTCTCCCCTCTCGGGCCTGGCGGGTGTCCCCCGCCCTCGGCCTCGGGGCCTGCCAGACGTGCTATCAGACGTCGGGGTGGTTGCCCCCCCTCCCAGGGCCGCCCGTTCCGCGCTACTCGTGGTGTGGCTCCTCACTCTCAGCAGAGTTTGCTTCGGCCCTGGAGGACCTCGTGGTGGGTGTAGGGTCACGGGTCCGGGGGGCAGTGCCAAGCGGCGGACTGGGCCAGACTTGCCTCCTGGCCCCCGTGTCCTCCACAGTGCAGCTCCCCCGGGCGCTTCGCCCTATGACACCGCAGAAGGCAGCACTACCACCAGTGCCGCCCCCCCCTCACTCCCCCCGCTGGCGGTGCGTCCCACGCCTGCGGGCCCTCCCCCCCCTCTCTGAGGCCTGGCGCCGTGGCCCACAGTCGCTTGTTTCCCCCATGCACTGTGGGGTGGTCTCTCGGGTGTTGGGTCGCCACGGAGTGGTTCAGCCTTCCGCAGCAGGTACAGCACCCCAGGCTCATCCACCAGCTTCAGGCCAGTGCGCTGCACCAAGTTCCGCGACAGCTGCTCCCTGCTTGCAGACATCGTCGTGGGCGTTTGGAATCTGGCGCCCCACACGCGACTCACTCCACCGGCCTCCCACTTGCCTCCACTCAGATTGACGGTCCTGGTCATCCTGGTTATGTCTCTTGACGGGCTTGGTTACCCGGTTCACGTCTCAGACTGTGGCTGGCACCGTATTCAAGACATTTTGTCTGTGCACGCGCACGAGCTCTCAGGGTCAGGTCACCTGCAGCGTCAGCTTCTCTTCAGCTTCGTGGCTGCTTTGTGAGCGGGCCAGCCGGCCTGTGCCTGT